CCACCCCGACAAATAACTACATGATTCCACCTGGTGGTTCAAAAATTTCACTCACTCACCCACGACTATAAACCCCTAAATACTAATCTTAATCTTAAAATAATAAATCCTAACTAGTCATAAGTTTGCCCATGTTACTCAAATATAGACACTTTGTATTGTGCCAAAACAAAAGCATTCACATTGCTAAACTCAAAATTATGATGTAGTCACTTAGCCTAATCTATAAAACTGTAAGGACTTAATGTTAAGAATTAATCTAAGTTGCTCGAATTGCCCAGCCATGCTAGGTGTCTTAGTGGCCCCCCTCTGTATTTTGTATTTTATAACATGTAAAAACCCCAAAATACCCAAAACCTGTAATCCCACATTGTAAACCATTATAGAAAAAAACTTGATTGAATTTGGGAAATTAAATTGAATATGGGTCCTGTCACGACTATTAAGAAAGTGTTTTAGTCCAGGGTTAATACTGGAATTTATGGTTCTGCAAATGTAGGTTGCACAATAGTAGGTGTGGATGTTCTGTACAGTGAGTAAGTTTAGGTCTCTGAAGAGTTGGGGGGGGGAGTGTTGCCTAGTATTGGATTGCATGATAATTCTTACTGTGGCTTTTTGTTGGGATATTATTGGCTTTAGGTGGGTTGCTGCTGTTGATCCCCAGGCACAATTGGCATAGGTGAGGTAGGGATAGATGAGTGAATAGTATAGTGCGAGTAGGTGAATCTGGTGTAGAGATTTAAAAGCTCATGTGATTGTGTGAGTTTTCATCTGAGCTGTCTCCTGGGATTATCTCTGCTACAGCATTATTTGCTACATTCCTCCATTTTAGGTGCCTTAGGTTGAAATCATCCCAGGAGCAAGATGCTGGGGGCAGGAGCTAGAAGATTTTCCAGACAGTGGTCAATTTTCAAAAGCTGTTCCTGGAAATATTGGGAAGCTGCATCTGGAGGCTTGTATACAACTACAACGACCAGGTTTTGGTTCTCGATCTTTACTGACAAAATTTCAACTACATTATTTGAGGCATTTAGTAGTTCCGAGCACATCAGTGACTGTGACGTATGGGGATATAGTACAATGGACCCCCGCCTTACAAACGCATCGCGTTACGTTAAATCCGCTATATGAAGCATTTGAATGCAAAAATTTTGCCTCGCCTCACGTGATTCATCCGGGACACGTCCCACGTAGCCTCAGCTGCCCCGTGTGTGCCAGTGTTTACAAGCCAGCCAGTGCGGTCGCATCTAAGCATACATTCGGTACATTTCATATTATCACAGTGTTTTTAGTGCTTGTAGCTGCAAAATAAGTCACCATGGGCCCCAAGAAAGCTTCTAGTGCCAACCCTGTGGTAAAAAGGGTGAAAATTACTATGGAAATGAAGAAAGAGATAATAACTAAGTACGAAAGTGGAGTGCGTGTCTCGGAGCTGGCCAGGTTCTATACCAAACCCCAATCAACCATTGCTACTATTTTTGGGCCCAAACCCAAAACGGCTATCAAGGAAGCTGTTCTTGCAAAAGGTGCAAGTTTGTTTTTGAAACAGAGATCGCAGGAGATAGCATCTCTCAAGCGATCGTATGTGAAAAGACTAGGATGTTGCATGAGGATTTAATTAGAAAAATGCCTGCAACTAGTGGTGATGTGAATGAATTTAAGGCCAGCAAAGGTTGGTTTGAGAGATTTAAGAATCGTAGTGGCATACATGTTGATAAGGCATGGTGAGGCTGCTAGTTCGGACCAAAAAGCGGCTGAAAAATATGTGAAAGGGAAATTTAAGGAGTACATAGACAGTGAAGAATTACAACCTGAACAAGTGTTTAATTGCGATGAAACAGGCCTGTTTTGGAAGAAAATGCCAAGCAGGACCTACATTACTCAGGAGGAAAAGGGACTCCCAGGACATAAGCCCATGAAGACAGGGTTACTCTTCTGATGTTTTGCTAATGCTAGTGGTGACTGCAAAGTGAACCTTTATTGGTGTGTCCCCTCTGAAACTCCCAGAGCGTTCTGGCAAAACAATGTCGTCAAGGCTAATTTGTGTGTGCTGTGGAGGGCAAATAGTAAGGCATGGGTCACTAGGGACTTTTTCTGTAACTGGTTACACCATGCATTTGCTCCCACTGTGAAAAATTACCTAATGGAAAAGAAATTGGACCTTAAGTGCCTCCTGGTATTAGACAATGCTCCTGGTCATCCTTCAGACTTGGCAGAGTGACTTTATGGGGACATGAGCTTCATTAGGGTCAAGTTTTTGCCTCCTAATACCACTCCTCTCTTGCAGCCCATGGACCAGCAGGTCATTTCAAACTTCAAAAAATTCTACACAAAAGCTATGTTTCAAAAGTGCTTTGAAGTGACCTCAGACACTCGATTGACTCTAAGAGAGTTTCGGAAAGATCACTTTAGCATCCTCAGTTGTGTAAACCTTATAGGTAAGGCTTGGGAGGGAGTGACTAAGAGGACCTTGAACTCTGCTTGGAAAAAACTGTGGCCAGAATGTGTAGAAGAAAGGGATTTTGAAGGGTTTGAGGCTAACCCTGAGAAGCGTATGCCAGTTGTGGAATCCATTGTGGCATTGGGGAAGTCCTTGGGGTTGGAGGTTAGTGGGGAGGATGTAGAAGAGTTGGTGGAGGAGGAGAATGAAGAACTAACCACTGAAGAGCTGTAAGATCATCTTCAACAGCAAGAGGCCAGACCTGAGGAAACTGCTTCAGAGGAGGGGAGAGAGAAATTGAGGAAGTTGCTTACTTCAAAGATTAAGGAAATGTGTGCAAAGTGGGTTGAACTGCAAACCTTTGCAGATGAAAATCACCCTGACACAGCTACTGCAAGCCATGCTGGTGACTATTACAATGACAATGTTATGGCCCATTTTAGAAAAGTCTTAAAGGAACGGGAGGTACAGAGCGCTATGGACAGATTTGTTGTGCGACAGAGGTCCAGTGACTCTCAAGCTGGTCCTAATGGCATTAAAAGAAGAAGGGAAGTAACCCCGGAAAAGGACTTGATACCTCAAGTCCTAATGGAAGGGGATTCCCCTTCTAAAAATTAACAACTTCCACACACTCCCCTCCTCCCATCCCATCAATCATCGCCAGATCTTCAATAAAGGTAAGTGTCATGTATTCTATTCTTAGTAGAGTAGTAATTGTGCATGTCTTCTTCAGTTTGTGTGTATTAAAATTAATATTTCATGTGGTAAAAAAAATTTGTTTTTCATACTTTGGGGTGTCAGGAAAGAATCAATTTGATTTCCATTATTTCTTATGGGGAAAATTAATTCAATGAGCTTACGATGAGCTCTCATGAATGGATTAATATCGTAAGGTGGGTGTCCACTGTATATGCTTACACATACTGGTTATATACCTATCATCATATATAACTTTTACTAGCTAAAATTTATTATCACTAGGTACTTTTTTAAAATTAAACCATAAAAAATTTTCTACTTTTGCTTTACTCACATAATTAAATACAGTATCATCCCATGCCTTTTTTCCCTAAGAGAAAGTATAAATATGCACTACATTTATTTAATGAATTCTTATTTATTTTATTTTTATTATCACACTGGCCGATTCCCACCAAGGCAGGGTGGCCCGAAAAAGAAAAACTTTCACCATCATTCACTCCATCACTGTCTTGCCAGAAGGGTGCTTTACACTACAGTTTTTAAACTGCAACATTAACACCCCTCCTGCAGAGTGCAGGCACTGTACTTCCCATCTCCAGGACTCAAGTCCGGCCTGCCGGTTTCCCTGAACCCCTTCATAAATGTTACTTTGCTCACACTCCAACAGCACGTCAAGTATTAAAAACCATTCGTCTCCATTCACTCCTATCAAACACGCTCACGCACGCCTGCTGGAAGTCCAAGCCCCTCGCACACAAAACCTCCTTTACCCCCTCCCTCCAACCTTTCCTAGGCCGACCCCTACCCCGCCTTCCTTCCACTACAGACTGATACACTCTTGAAGTCATTCTGTTTCGCTCCATTCTCTCTACATGTCCGAACCACCTCAACAACCCTTCCTCAGCCCTCTGGACAACAGTTTTGGTAATCCCGCACCTCCTCCTAACTTCCAAACTACGAATTCTCTGGATTATATTCACACCACACATTGCCCTCAGACATGACATCTCCACTGCCTCCAGCCTTCTCCTCGCTGCAACATTCATCACCCATGCTTCACACCCATATAAGAGTGTTGGTAAAACTATACTCTCATACATTCCCCTCTTTGCCTCCAAGGACAAAGTTCTTTGTCTCCACAGACTCCTAAGTGCACCACTCACCCTTTTCCCCTCATCAATTCATTGATTCACCTCATCCTTCATAGACCCATCCGCTGACACGTCCACTCCCAAATATCTGAATACATTCACCTCCTCCATACTCTCTCCCTCCAATCTGATATCCAATCTTTCATCACCTAATATTTTTGTTATCCTCATAACCTTACTCTTTCCTGTATTCACTTTTAATTTTCTTCTTTTGCACACCCTACCAAATTCATCCACCAATCTCTGCAACTTCTCTTCAGAATCTCCCAAGAGCACAGTGTCATCAGCAAAGAGCAACTGTGACAACTCCCACTTTATGTGTGATTCTTTATCTTTTAACTCCACGCCTCTTGTCAAGACCCTCGCATTTACTTCTGTTACAACCCTATCTATAAATATATTAAACAACCACGGTGACATCACACATCCTTGTCTAAGGCCTACTTTTACTGGGAAATAATTTCCCTCTTTCCTATGTACTCTAACTTGAGCCTCACTATCCTCGTAAAAACTCTTCACTGCTTTCAGTAACCTACCTCCTACACCATACACCTGCAACATCTGCCACATTGCTTCCCTATCCTCCCTGTCATACGCCTTTTCCAAATCCATAAATGCCACAAAGACCTCTTTAGCCTTATACAATTCTTATACAATGTCAAAAGATTTCTACATCAAAAAAGAAATGAAACAAGATATGTTCATACCTTTTTCACAGCAACAATTTGCTTTGTTTCCACATCCAAGGCTTTGTATACTGTTGCAAACTGAAAAATAAAATAACATTCTTAGCGAGTCTAAAACACACAAAATTGTATAGCATAAGTAAGTTCATTTAGTCACAGGTACCCATAAGTACAATTATCATACAGTGTAAATTAACTTGGATAACGCCCCAAAAATGTCAAAGTTCATGCGATTCTTCACCTGTCCATCTAACTTGATAAGTACATACAATAAAGTGCATTATAAGCTATTCTTCCAGTCATGGTATTAAGATAAGCTTTAGTTCGGATTTTTAACCCCTGGAGGGTTAGCCATTCAGGATAACCTAAGTCAGTCAGTGTATCATCAAGGGACTGTCTGTCTGATTTCCACTGGGGTCCTCAATCCCCCAGGATGCAACCCACACCAGTCAACTAACACCCAGATACCTACTTGCTTGCCAAGTGAATGGGATAACAGGTGGAAAGAAACACTGGTCAACAACCAAAATCCTTCTGAGACCAGAGTAGGAATTTCCAACTAATTTTAGGTCACTGATAATGAATATCATGGTTAAAATTGTTTGTTAGCTCTACTTTTCAATATACACCTATGTGTCACAACAGGTTCCAACAGGCTTGTGGCAGTGTGTTTCTTACCACACTCACAGTCTTACTGCCCATCATTATTGTTCCAGCAGTCAGCAGTAGGCGATTTTCTTTGTCAAACACTTCTTAAATGTAATAAATATTCAGTGAGCAAGCTATTGATATGCATGTGAGGTATATTATATTAATTTTGTTTTCCTACTGAATGATATATACTTCTGCTTAGCTGTCATGCTCTGTATTATAATGATAAATTAATGAATAAATTTTCTGTTTGTTGCTTTCTTCTTTCAGATGCCTCATACTTGGGTGAATAGGGCAGACAACTTCTGCTACATTTGTGGTGAGGTGACCTTTGCATCACAGAAATGCTGTATAACTACTATGATTAGAAAGGCATATCATCTATATTTTGGATGCAAGATTGGTGACAGGATAGGAACTGGGCTCCACACATATGCTGCAACAATTGTGCTACTAACCTTCGCCAATGGTTGAACAGGAAGAGGAAAGGAACGCCTTTTGCTGTGTCAATGACATGGCGGGAGCCAACAGACCATACCAACAACTGTTATTTCTGCATGGTACCTAGTTCATCTATCAAAACTTTGGGGGCCCAGTCCCTGGACCCATTACGTACCTCTGTAATCTGTAAATACTTTTGTAACTTGTCATGATTGTGACCAGACCTACCTGGAGTTCATTACCTTTGTAAATTGTGAGTTCATTACCTTTGTAAATTGTGAGTTCATTACCTCTGTAACTTGCTCAGCTATCAAAACTTTGGAGTCCAGTCCCTGGACCAATTATGTACCTCTGTAATCTTTTGACTACTGCCCACAGGATGGGTATGGGGTGCATAATAAACATATTAAACTAAAACTACCTCCAATACAAAAGGGCTTGTCAAAGAAAAAAAAGGGGTCCATTGAATATCTAAACGTTCCATCAGCTATTCGCCCAGTTTCACATGGAGAAGGTCTACCTGTTCTTGATGCACCAGCTTCGGTATCCGTCGAGCCAGAAGAAGAAAGTGGTGAGGAGGACGAAGAGAAGGATGACACTGCCAGATTACAGAGTGACCCAAACTTTGATGAAGCATTCCCATTCAAGGCAGGTGAAATTGCAGAACTAGAGAATGTACAGAGAACCTTTACTGCATGTATAAGTTCCATCAAACACCTTAACTACTGGGAGTGCATGGAAGCACTTGATTTGTACTCACTAGAGTGCAGACGAGAGAGATATATCATCAACACCTGGAAGATTCTGTAGGGACTGGTCCCTAATATGCACACAGCAATCACTCCATACGAAAGCAAAAGACTTGGCAGGCGATGCAACATACCCCCAGTGAAAAGTAGGAGCATCACTGGTATACTAAGAGAAAATGCATTAAGTGTCCGGGGCCCAAGATTGTTCAACACCCTCCCGCCAGCAATAAGGGGCATTACAGGAAGACCCCTGGTTGTCTTCAAGACGGAGCTGGACAGATACCTAAAGACGGTGCTGGATCAGCCGGGCTGTGGTTCATACGTTGGATTGCGTGCAGCAAGCAGTAACAGCCTTGTTGATCAGGCCTTGATCCACCGGGAGGCCTAGTCGTGGACTGGGCTGCGGGGGCGTTGATCCCCGGAATGCCCTCCAGGTAGACTCCAGGTAGCACACTCCTCAGATTCGAGAGTTTCTTAAAGATGGTGACTTTGAATCAGACCTTCATGAGGAGAAGAAAGCAGCTTAGGAAGCATTCAAGTTAGTGGCGAAGGGATTTCTCAGAAACAGAAGGGAAGGTAACTATGAAGAATTGGTGGAAAACCTCATCAAAGCTTACAAGAACATGAGATGTAACATGTCACTTAAAATCCACTTTTTGGACTCATATTTACACTTTTTTTCAGCAAACTGTGGGGCAGCTAGTGACGAACATGGTGAAAGGTTTCACCAAGATATTTCAACCATGGAAAAATGATACCAGGGCAAATGGGGCACAAGAATGCTTACAGACTATTGCTGGACATTGGCAAGAGATGATTCTTCAGCCCACTATAAGCGTCAAGCAAAAAGGCAGAGAGTATGTACGGATTAGAGTTTAAAACATACTGACACATACCTGGAGAGGGTTTCGGGGGTCAACGCCCCCGCGGCCTGGTCTGTGACCAGGCCTCATGGTGGACCAGGGTCTGATCGACCAGGCTGTTACTGTTGGCCGCATGCAACCCGATGTACGAACTACAGCATGGCTGGTTCGTACTTTATTATAAAAATAATCAAATATTACATGTCTTGTATATGTAAACGTATAGCCAATAAGCATTTTTCAAGGTGATATTTGGATTCAGGACATGAAAATACATAAGAATTAACTAAAGTAAAAGGACACAGGTGCAACTAATGTGACATTTTATTGTGAAAACGTTTTGCTCTCCAGGAGCTTTTTCAAGCCGTTACAAATAATACAGACACAGAGGGTATATATAGGTTAGAGTGAGGTGCAAAAATTCTCCTCAAAACAGTAAACCCTGCCATCATATAGTCTCTGCAACACAAGAACACAGCAGATGAGGAATATTGAAACAGACTTTCTCAGATCCAACCACCAACAGAAATATTGTCTAACCTATTTTTACGCTACTCAAGTATGTAATAGCTTTTATAACTTTCTACTCATGTGCAAGTTGACTGTTCTACCACTACTACAACTTATAGTATATTACTACTACTACAGTGGAACCCCGGTTTTCGTCTTTAATCTGTTCCAGAAGGTTGGCCGAAAACCGATTTGAACAAAAACTGAAGTAATATTTCCCCTAAGAAATAACGTAAATCCAATTAATCCGTTCCAGACACCCAAAAATACTAACAATAAATACATTTTACAGAGAATATATACAGTTTTAAACACAGAAAACAATGAGAAATAAATATAAATGACTAATGAAATGCATAAATGAACATTTTACATCACTTTTACCTTGATTGAAGACTCTTGTTGGCATATGGAAGATGGTGAGGAGGGGAAAGGGAGGAGGGCTTATTGCTTGGAAGGGTAATCCCCCTCCGTAAGGACTTCAGGTATCAAAGCCCTATCTGGGGTTACTTCCCTTCTTTGTCTTTTACTGGCACTAGGACCAGCTTGAGAGTCACTGGACCCCCTGTCGAACAAAAAAATCTGTCCAGAGAGGCCTGTTTCTGGCCTCTCTAAGATTTGCCTAAAATGGGACATGGCATTGTCACTGAACATGTTGCTGACACGGCTTGCAACAGCTTTGTTAGGGTGATATTTCTACACAAAACTTTGCACAAAACCCCACAAAACTCCAATTTGCACAAATGTCCTTAACTGCTGAAGAAGGCACATTCTCCCCTCTCTCTTCCTTCTCCTCTGAAGCAATTTCCTCAGCTAAGGTCTGTTGCGGTTACAGATGAAGGTCTTGCAGCTCTTCAGTGGTTAGCTCTTCCCTGTGGTCATCCATCAACTCTTCTACATCTTGGCCAATCACCTCCAATCCCCCCCAACACTCACCTCCAACACCCCCAAAGACACAATAGATTTCACAACAGGTGTAGGGTCGGCAGAGTGAGTCATGAATGTATGAGTGGACGTGTCCCACAGGCAGGTGGATGCGTGTAGTACAGACGATTTCCAAGCGGATGTACGAAAACAGGGAAAATTTCACCAAAAGTGGTCGAAGACTGAATTGCACGACAACCGGATCGAATGAAAACCGGGGTTCCACTGTACTACTACCACTAGTATTACACCTCACTCTAAGCCTATACATACCCTGTGTCCATGTTTTGTTTGTAATGGCTTGAAAAAGCTCCTGGAGAGTGAAACATTGCCACAAGAAAATGTCACATTAATTGCATTTGTGTTCTTTTACTTTACATATGTCAGTAATTCTACCAAAATTAATACAAGAATTAACTAATCTCATTTAAGAAGCATACAACTATTCAAAAATTGTTGATTAGTGAAACACGTCTAGCGTTTCTACCCTTGCTGGGGCTCAAACCACAGACACTCAGTGTATGAAGCGAGTGTTGCCTACCAGGCCATGGGCCTTTTATTATTTAGGCTAAAAGTTAATATTATTCCAATCCTAACTAAACACTAAACCCATAAGGTTCATTATGCAGGGCCTTTTATTATTTAGGCTAAAAGTTATTATTATTACAATCATAACTAAATGCTAAACCCATAAGGGTCATACAGCATATGCTAACAGTTAAAACAGTTCTTCACTGAAAAATCCCCTGGTCACTTTCCTCAGTGTAACTAACAGCACCATTAAATTGGCCTGCAAAATACAGTATGGTATTCATATTTAAGGAGCGCTAAATACGCAGGGGTCATATAGCGCCTGGGGATTGGCAGGCATTCAGGTTCGACCTAAAGAAGAGAATAAACTTACTTACTTAACTGGACCCATTTCTTTGATCAAGAGCCAATCATCAGTTTCAAGAAACTTTCTTTGAGGGGGAATATGCCAGAAGGAAAATGTTGATGACTTACAAAAAGTCAGTCAGAGATCACCGGCATCCATCAAAACTTTTCCTGCAATTTTAGGAACCAAAAACAAACAAAAAAAATATGATCACTGAAATAAATATTCTTAGTGACATGTGAAACGAAACTAACATTAAAAAAAAAGGGATGCGCTAAACCTATATGGGTACTAGAGTGATGTTTCAAACAACCGCAACAGTGTGCTCTCCATAAATGTTAAAATACCAAACAAATACATCCCATTCTGGCTAACCTGCCCTTCTCCCAAAAAGTCTATTTTTTCATATCTCTTCAATTTTTCCTCTATACGTATTCTTCCTCGCTTTTCTTCAACTGTCTCCATAATTTCAACTTATTAATGATATATATAATAATATCATTTAGCTGTTATTTCTTGTGGGGATATTTGTTTCTTCTTTACAATCGAAGTTGGTCTCCCTGGAACTTCTGGTAGACTACACAACATAACACATGTGTGTTGGGTATATGGTACATTCGGCCCAAGGTCCGTTGTTGTTGGGTCTATGGTATCTTAGTAAGTTTATTCAGGTATACACAAATTTATTTATTTATTTATTTATTTATTTATTTATTTATTTAAAAATTTGTGCACACATACAGAGGTACAAAAAATACAGAAAAGAGCAGTATGCCAAAGCCACTTATACTATGCATAGCATTACGGGCTGGCTTAAAATTAACTTAAGATGAACTAAGCAATGATGACATCGGTGATAAAACTTTAATGTAAACAGATTACTATAAAGCACAAGTGAGTATTACAAAGACAGGTCATATGGTTGTATGCTTGTTGTACATTCAGTAGAATGGAGTATTCTGTTAGGTAGTGTATTTAAAAAATAATAAAGTTAGTTGGGTTTTAGGTTTAACATTTATGTGATATAATTGTGAGAAACATTTAAGATATACAATTTATAAGGTTCAGTTATTCAGTATTATTTGGTTTTGGGGTGAGTAAGTGATCTTTGAGAAGAGACTTGAATTTATAAACAGGTAGTGTTTCTTTTTTTTTTTTACAGGGAATGAGTTTTCCAGATTTTAGGGCCTTTTATGTGCATTGAGTTTTTGCAAAGTGTGGATGGACACGAGGAACATCAAAGAGTGATCTGTGCCTTGTGTTATGGTCATGCGTTCTGTTGAGGTGGCAAGGGATGTTTGAGGGGAGGGTTAATATCAGAGTTAAGTGTTCTATGTATGTAATAGGTGGCAGTAATAAGTATGAATGTTTGTATGGTGAATAGGTTTAGTGTATGAATATTGGTGGAGTGTGCTCCCTATAGTGAAAATTTTTGTTATCATTCTAACTGCAGCCTTTTGTTGGGTAATTAGTGGTCTGAGATGGTTATTGTTGTTGAGCCCCATGCACAAATTCCATAGGTGAGATAGGGGTAAATAAGAGAGTGATATAGGGCCAGGAGGGCTGACTGTGGAGCATAGTACCGTATCTTCGATAGTATGCCTACAGTCTTGGAAATTTTCTTAGAAATTTTGTTGTATATGTGTATGAAATTTGAGTCTATTATCAAGGTGGATTCCTAAGAATTTTCCCTCTGTTAGCTTTGTGATAGGTGATCCGTTTATCATTATGTAAGAGGGACATCTGTAGCTCTGTTACCAAACTGAATGAAGTATTTAGGTTTTGTTCAATGTTTAGTGTAAGTTTGTTAGTCCTCATCCAGGTAGATATTTTCTGTAATTCTGTATTTACAGTATTGGCTAGCGTGACTGGGCTCGGGTGGGAGAAGACGTATGTAGTGTCATCTGCAAATAGTGTGGGTTTGAGTAATTGCGAAGCGTTTGGTAGGTCTTTTATGTATAGGAGAAAGAGAAGAGGGCCAAGGACACTTCCCTGTGGGACACCAACTGTAATTGGTTGTGCAGAAGAGTTTGCCCCATTTGCATACACATATTGGCTTCTGTTGCTGAGGTATGACTTGAGGTAGTTGAGGGAGTGCCCTCTTATACCATAGTGTGACAATTTTACGTGGAGCAAGTCATGGTTAACTGTATCAAAAGCTTTACGTAAGTCAATGAAGATCCCCAGTGGGACTTCTTTTTTCTCTATTGCAGTGTATATATGTTCTAGCATGTGTATAATAGCATCATTAGTATTTTTATTGGCCTGAATCCAAATTGGCAGGGGTTGAGTATGTTTTGGGAGATAAGGTAGGAGTAGATTCGTTTATGAATTAATTTTTCGAGAGATTTTTGAGAGAGGGTTGTAAGTTGGATATTGGCCTATAGTTATTCAACTCTGTTTGGTCTCCTCCTTTGTGGATCGGGGTGACCCTTGCTATTTTGAGTACTGTGGGGAAGGTGGAGGATTCAATGGATTTGTTAAAGAGTGTTGCAATGATTGGTGATAGCACTTGTGACACTTTTTTGTATATAAAGGGTGGTAAGGTATTTAAATCTCCTGCCTTGTTTTTTAGCGTGTTGATAATAAGGGAGACTTCGTATGGGTTAGTCGGAGCTAGGAACAGTGTGTTCGGGTAGTTGCCAGTGAGGTAGTCATTTGGTGGGGTATCTGAGCTTGGGATTTTATTGGCAAGGTTTTGTCCTATAGTGGAGAAGTCATTGAGTCTGTTTGCTGTTTCTGTTGGTGGGAGTTGGGGTTCATCTGATTTTGCTAATTTTATTTCGCTATTTCGTGATATCTTTTTTGTTCCTAGAATTTCTGATAGGGTTTTCCAGGTCTTTTTTATATCACCTATATCAAATACAGTTACATAGATTATCATACATAGCAGAATATGTGTAGAGAACCTAGGATAACCCAAAAAAGTCAGAGTGACTTATTTCCGTTGGGGTCCTTTTAATACCTTATTATTATATTATAAATGATATAATATCTTATTACTATACTATAAAGGATTTGGTAAGTAAGTAACTTTATTCAGGTATACACAAATACAGTTACATAGAATTATCGTACATAGCAGCAAATGTGTAGAGAACCTAGGATAACCCAAAAAAGTCAGAAAGAGTTATATACATTTACATATGTGTTAGCTAAAAAAAAATAAAAAATCATTCTCCTCCCTTTCTGTCGCTACATTCATTAGACACAGTAAATGACAAACTTCTAAAAATATCTACTCGGATGACTACCAACAAACTTACAACATAGACAAAACCTACTTCATACTATTTGGAAAGAGCTTCAAATGTTCAGCTAAACATAGTGATAAATGGTTAACCCATTTCAAGACACACAGAAGGCAAATTTCTAGGTCTCCACCTTGACTGCAGACTCAAATTCTAAACCCACATACAGCAAATATCCAAGAAAGTCTCCAAAACAGTAGGCAGCCTATCAAAAATATCGTTGTGTGTACCACAAACGGCCCTTCTTGCTCTTTACCACTGTCTCATTTACCCTTAATTCACCGATGGTATTTGTGCACGTGGCTCAACCAGAGCAAATCACATTAAACCTTTAAAAACCCAACAAAAAGCTGCAGTGTGACAGACTACTAACTCCTGCACTAGACAGCATACTCCGCCGCTTTTCAAGAGTCTTAACTTGCTAAATATACAAAACATCCACACTTATTATAAACCCTCCTCTCAAACTCCTCCTTGATAACTATAACGGAATACACAGCCATAATACAAGACAAATCACTCTTCGATATCCCAAGTGTCCATCTCTCCCTACGCAAAAATGCTATGCACGTAGAGATTTTGCCATCGAAGTGGCTAGTTTATTGTGCACCCCATATCCATCCTGTGGACGGTAGCGGTAGAGCATATTGATACACAGAAGGTCTAGGAACTAGGTCCCAAAAGGGTTAACAGGTGCACATATAGGTTTTTATTTATCTACATATCTACAGTTCACTTATTTGTTACAAGCAAATTTAGGAAATTTGTTTAGTATATCTGGTATCTTATTTTCATTAATATCTTGACATGTCACATAGGTTATTATACTGTCTGTCTCTGTATTCCTCAATAAGTGGACAATTAAGCACATAGTGTTCAAGATAGTGACCATATGCCTGATCACATAATTGCATTTAGTTTGATCCTCATCTGTGTGTCAGTCCGTTCACATTGCAAGTCGCTCCATGTGTGTGTGTGTTTGTGTGTGTTTGTGCGTGTTTGTGTGTGTTTGTGTATGTGTTTGTGTGTGTGTGTGTTTGTGCGTGTGTGTATGTGTATGAGTGTGTGTGTATGAGTGTGTGTACTCACCTAGTTGAGGTTGCGGGGGTCGAGTCCGAGCTCCTGGCCCCGCCTCTTCACTGATCGCTACTAGGAGTGTGTGTGTGTGTGTGTGTGTGTGTGTGTGTGTGTGTGTGTGTGTGAGTGTGTGTGTGTGTATGTGTGTGAGTGTGTGTGTGTGTGTGTGTGTGTGTGTGTGTGTGTGTGTGTGTGTGTGTGTGTGTGTGTGTGTGTGTGTGTGTGTGTGTGTGTATGTGTGTGTGTGTGTGTGTGTATTCACCTATTTGTACTCACCTATTTGTGGTTGCAGGGGTCGATTCACAGCTCCTGGCCCTGCCTCTTCGCTGATTGCTACTAGGTCCTCTCTCTCCCTGCCCCATGAGCTCTATCATACCTCGCCTTAAAACTATGTATGGTCCCTGCCTCCACCACATCACTTTCTAGGCTATTCCATGGCCTGACTACTCTATGACTGAAGAAATACTTCCTAACATCCCTCTGACTCATTTGTGTCTTCAACTTCCAACTGTGGCCTCTTGTGTCTGTGTCCCCTCCCTGGAACATCCTGTCTTTGTCCATCTTGTCTATTCCACGCAGTATTTTATATGTCGTTATCATGTCTCCCCTGACCCTCCTGTCCTCCAGTGTCGTCAGGTCGATTTCCCTTAATCTTTCTTCATAGGACATTCCCCTTAGCTCTGGAACTAACCTTGTCGCAAACCTTTGTACTTTCTCAAGTTTCTTGACGTGCTTTATCAAGTGCGGGTTCCAAACAGGTGCTGCATACTCCAGTATGGGCCTGACATACACAGTGTACAGTGTCTTGAACGATTCCTTACTAAGGTATCGGAATGCTATTCTCAGGTTTGCCAGGCGCCCATATGCTGCAGCAGTTATCTGATTGATGTGTGCTTCCGGAGACATGCTCGGTGTTATACTCACCCCAAGATCTTTCTCCTTGAGTGAGGTTTGCAGTCTTTGGCCACCTAGCCTATACTCTGTCTGTGGTCTTCTGTGCCCTTCCCCTATCTTCATGACTTTGCATTTGCAGGATTAAATTCGAGAAGCCATTTGCTGGACCAGGTGTCCAGTCTGTCCAGGTCTCTTTGAAGTCCTGCCTGGTCCTCATCAGAATTAATTCTCCTCATTAACTTCACATCATCTGCAAACAGGGACACTTCTGAGTCTAACCCTTCCATCATGTCGTTCACATATACCAAAAATAGCACTGGTCCTAGGACCGACCCCTGTGGGACCCCGCTCGTCACAGGTGCCCACTGTGATACATCATTACGTA